ACCACTTTAAACACCTGGTAACACAAGCTAAGAAGGGGACCTGGGGATCTGACTGTTTTGTAATCAAATTTTCTAACAATCTCTTTTCTTGTCACAGAGAGACTAAAGCACTGTCTCTGTGGCATCTTAAGTGCTGAGAGTCTCAGGATTTGTCTAGCAAATTGACGCTCGCCACATCACTCTACATACATGTGGATCTGAACACCCTCTGTTCAGCTAGGCAGCAGCCCACACTCCCTTTGCTTCCTGACTTTTAGAAATGTGTCAAAATCTCTCACTCACTACCATCTCTTTGTCCTTGCACTTTAATATATTTTAAAGTTTTTTCCATCCACTCTCATTTTTACAGTTTGGAAAGGAGAAGGGGTAAACCCACGAACACTCCTCCTAGGGCTCCTGAGCTCCTCTTCCATTGTTTAGCAAGTCTGGCCACTGCCCATTGTAAAAGTTACTCCTCTATTTCTTATGTGGTGAAATGTTTCTAGCTCAAAAGTATATACCATCACATGTAACAGTTTTGAATTAATATTGATCAAGGCTAAGATTCAGACTTAAGAGGTTTGAAAATAAAAATATGCGTCTTAGTTGTTTTGCAAAGATTTCTTCATCACATACACAAGATAACTCAATGGTGCTGACCACTCAGGAACACATGCCTTCAAAAGGAAAAGATATCTCATCTCAAAGATATCTCATCTCAAAGATATCTCATCACAAAGATATCTCATCTCCCAAGATACTATGTGGGATCAAGGTTTCAGAAAAGAAAACTAGCAGTTAGTCAAAGTGACCTAGAAATCTACAATTATGGCTTTCATGAAAGTAGTTAAAATTTTTTATTTATTAGGTAGAAAAGAAAAATGTCAATTTTCTTTTTCTTTTTTTTTTTGAGTGGTTTTTGCTATAGGGCTTGTGCATTCACTAGAAAGACATAGAGAGACAGACAGAAAGCAAGAAATCACCCCCTAGAGGGGATGACCATGCCACAACCCCTTTTCCTCCATTTTCTTCTCGGGATCTTGGGCATACACACACAGGTGCCGGTGTGAGTTTAAGCCACCAGGTCCAGGCCTCAAACCGCAGTCTACTACTTGGGAGTCCAGCGACATAGCCATTATGCCAGCTGCTGGTCCCAAGAAAAAAGGTCAATGTTCATAGTATAAGCTATTATATTAAAAAGTAATGTAATATGCACCATACATGTCATTATATGTGCAGGGTACAAAACTTGCAAGATACTACACGTTGAAGTATGTTTCAGTAAACACCAAGGATTTCCAAGAGGAAGGAGGACAGGAATGGCAAAAAAGCTGAGGGGCCCAGCCTGGTGATGCACTTGGCAGCATATTGAACTACAGTGCTGGAAGCCACATGGCCGTCCGCGAGTTTGGATCCTGGATCAGTGTGAAAACATACAGGTGTATGCACACATGGCCAAGATCCTAACAAGCTGAAGAGCTGGGGAAAGGAGATCATGGTATGATGAGATGCATGAAAAGCTCCTCGCTCTCTCTCTCCTGTGTTCATGCCTGTGCTCTATCATGAATAAAGTATTTTTCATTTCTTTTTAAAAAACTAAGAGTGAGAACATTTTTAAAAGGGGAGACTGATCCATAATAAAACACAAAGGAGCTGAAAAAAAGTATAATCATTTTAGAAACAAAACTTTAAATATTTTCCACTCCCCTTAGGGGTGTTTTCACACTTTTCCCCTCTCCCTGGTGAGTACATGTGCCTTATGGCAAATTAAAAGAAAAAAAGAATACTTTCTACAAAAAAAAAACCTCTCTAATAATATAAGCCATGTTGTTACTTTGTCTATTATTTACTCTGCTATTTATTAGTAAAAATGAAAATTAACCCTACCAGGCTTGTTTTGTAAAAACTGACAAGCTGATGATTTAATAGAACAAAACAGATCAGAAATAGGCTCACGTATATACAAATACATAAACATTAACTGATTTTCGATAAGGATGTCAAAGCAACTCAATGGAGAAAAGATCATCTTTTTGACAAATGGTGATGGAACTAACCATAGGTTAAAAATAAATGAATCTTTGTCCTTACTTTATACCATTCATAAGATTAACTCAAAGTGAATTAGCCTGTGCTTAAGCTAAAACTATAAGACTTCTGGAAGAAAACAAAAAATCTTAGAGAACAATTACTCAAATATAACACAAAAAAGCACAGGCATTTAAAAAATATCAATAAATTGGACCATGAAAACTAATGTTTATTTTCAAAAGACATAGTCAAGAAAACAAAACAAACCATAGCAAATATTTGAAAAAATGTCTTATAAAAGACTTGTACCTAGAATACGTAAATAACCCTTACACTCAGTAAGAAGACAACACAAAAATAGAGAAAAAGATGTGAACAGAAACTTCATCAAAAAGGAAATAAGTGTATGAGAAGATTTTCAACTTCATTTGTTATTAGGGAAATACCAGTTAAAACTGCCATGAGACCAGCAGTTGGTGTAATGGCTATGTTGATGGACTCTCATGTAGTCAATCACTGTTCGAGTCCTAGACCCAGTGGCTTAAACTCACGCAGGGCGTGTGTGCATGTGTGCCCAAGATCCCGAGAGGAGAATGGAGGCGAAGGGACTGAAGTGTGGCCAGCCCCCCTAGGGGGACGATTTCTCACTTTCTGTCTCTTTCTCTGTCTTTCTGGCAAGTGCATGAGCCCTATAGCAAAAAACATAAATACATACATACATAAATCTGCAGTAAAATACTACTACAGAACCACTAAAATGGCTGAAATTAAAAAGACTAACGAAACCAAAAGTTGGCAATGACATAAAGCAACCAGAAAGGTCAGTATACTGTAATATAAAATTACTAATGTATTATGTACTCTTTAAAACATATACATAAGATTACAATAATAATAGTAGACAGGTTGGGATGGAGATCTGGTGTTCAACTGTTAACACTTTTTAAGTTTCTTTTTAAATTTCCACATTTAAGAAGAATGTAGAAAGTTAAATTCTATCTTTACACTTACACTTTATAGTTTTTAAACAAAGACAGGCTATAATAAGTTGGAGTCATTTCAACTCTATTTGAATAGACTATGCTAAAGAACTATGACTTAGTCACAGTTACTGTTCAGAAACAAATGGAAGTCTTTCTTCTCGATAGTATCTATTTCTTCCTTTTTTTAGGAGAGATTTTTACTATACTTTTACTGTATTTTTACATGTATACTCGCTAGAGAGACAAAAAGTGAGAAATCACTCCCTGGGGGAATGGCCACACCTCAATCCCTTCTCTCCCATTCTCCTCTCAGGATTTTGAGCACACATGCATACATGCCCTGCCTATTTCAAGCCGCCGGGTCCAGGAGTCAACCCACAGTCAAGCATGTGGAAGTCCTTACCACTATGCCACCTGCTGACCCAGACAATATCTATTTCTAAAAGAACAGAATCTCAGATTTTAAAACCATCATATGGTTTAGTTTTCTATGTAATATGTGATTTTTTTTTTTAACTTGTCAGTTCACTGAAGGCATGCTTGCTTCCTTATCAGTTATGGAACTAAGTCTACACTCTGGAAAGACTAGTGTCCTATTACTTATGTGAAGCTCAGCAAGGTTAGCAAATATACATGTGTCTGAAACAATCAAGGTGCCTCTACTAAGAGATGTCATTGAACTGAATAACTGGGGTCAGACGGTGGCATTGTGGTTAAGGGGTTGGGTGCCAGATTGCCAACTGCTAGTTTGAGTCCTGGAACCAGTGGCTTGGAAAAAAAAAAAAAAAAAAAACAGGCACAAGTGTGTGCAGGCTCAAAAGCCCAAGAGGAGAGTGCAGAAAGGACTAGCCCATCTCCCCTGGGGTGATTTCTTTCAGTCAAATTCATGCATCCTATAACAAGAACTAAAACTAAAACAAAACAAAACAAAACACTATGAAAACAGGATAGCAAATGTTCCCTGTAAATCGCTTTCTTAAAAGTTGATTCATTCATTTCTTCCATAAGCAAGAGAAACAGACACACAGAGATAGCACCTCAATGGGGTCTTCAATGCTATGATCCACCCCAGCCAGTTCCAAATACTGGATATGTATTTGCCCAATATTCTCAGAAAGGTCTCTGGACTCAAACCCGGAAGTTTCTCTTGTGGGTCAACCTTGCAGAACATTGTGTTTACCACTGCACCACATCTAATCCCTACTTTGTATTTTCAAGAATTACTACCTGGCTCTCATTCAGGTGTTCCTGATTACCTAAGAAGTTGATCCAAAGTAGATTTTCTGGGCTAGCAAACTACTCCATGGTATTGAGAAATCTTCAACTAAAAATTATCAATGTTTTGCTGTTAAAAACAAACAAACCAAATAAGTGTTTCTGTTAAAAAAGACACTTCACTTTTTGTACTTAAATTCATGGATTATAAATTAAAATGCTCTTTCAAAACTGAATGCTGTAAATTTAAAAAGTAATCTGAGGGTGCTTTAGCATAATTAGAATAGGACCCCAAAGAGTACCAGTTATGAGTCCAGAGAGCAGTACATGAGTTGAAATGCTCTCCAATAACTTAAATCATAAAACAAGCAATTTCTCAATTAAATGAACTCTATAACAGGTTTCAGGAATAAACGAAGACCACAAGCCTAACAAGTCCATAAAAAGAAACAATACAACAATACAAAGGAATAAGTAACCTTATAAAGAAAATATACAGCTGTACAATTATTTTTTTAAATCATAGTTTGACAATCCAATATTGAGAACGTCATTAAAATATATCAAGGCTATGGTACTAAAGATGAATATAATTGCTACTTAACTCATTTGACCGAACTAAAATTATCCCAAGAAAATACAGTCTCAAGTTAACATGGAATGTTATCCAACTATAAAACCAATTATTTTAGTTACTTCATTAATTTAAACATACATAAAACAATTTCAATCAAGCCATATCTAACAGTTTAGGTCCTAGTAGACTTTGTGATTATTTTTTAAAAGTCTTACCTGTTCAATGACATAAAAGGCAAATTCTAGCCGTTGTTTCTGGAGCATTGGAATCAGGTGCAAGAAAAAAATTGGAAGATGTTCATGGCGATTACGGAAAGGAATGAGAACTGCCACCTTTAAAAAGAAAGTCACACAGGTAAAAAACATAGCAGCCAATCCTAGAGGTAAAGACAGAGGTACTGACCCTTAAAAACTTCTGATGGGGGACCAGCAGGTGGCATGGTGGCTAAGACACTGGACTCCCAAAGGCCAACCATGGTTTAAGTCCTGTATCTGGTGGCTTGAAAATCATGCCAGGTGCATGTGTGTGCATACTCAAAATCCCAGGATGATCATGGAGTCAAATGGATTGCAGCATGGCCATTCCCCTAGAGGGTGATTTCTCACTCCCCCATCTCCCTGTCTCTCTCCAGCAAGCACATGCACCCTATGGCAAAAATGTAAAGGAAAGAAAAAAAAAGAAAGAAAGAAAGAAAAAGTGGGAAAAAAAACTTCTGATGGTCTTAAAGTCACACCAGTATGACTTTTCACACTGGAAGAGCAAAGGTAAGTAAAAATAGACATGGCTCATAGATATGGCCCTTATGCTCATGCCACTAGGTCTCAAGAAGCTAGGGAGGTATAAATGGCCTTGAAGGCTATTCTAAGAACTGTAGTCTCTATCCTATGAACACCATGGAAAATGACTAAAAGATTTAAAGGGAGTGATAAGTCACATCTGGTAATGGCAAGACTATTCTGCTGGCAGTATGGAAGAACAACTGGAGAAAACCAAAAATGGACTGAGACAGAGTTAAGAAATTAATGCAACAGTAAAAGCAAGATGTAATAATAGTAGCTTCAACCTCTTAATAGAGGGTACAGGAGAAGAGAGGTACACATTTTCAAAATATTTAAGAGGAAAATTAACAGTGTTTGGCTATGGGCTAGACGTGTGGAATGAGAGAGAACAATGTGGGAAGAGTAACTTCAAGATTTTAAAGTAGATTCTAAGTAATCATTTTTTTTTTAATTTTAAATAGAATTTTAAAGTGGTTCAGGTCAGCCAGTAGCATAGTAGCCGGGGTGGCTAAATCCCACATAGCCAACTGTGCACTTCGAGTCCCAGACCAGCAGCTTGAAAAACATTCCAGACGTTGTGTGCATGCAAGCCCAAAATCCCAAGGGGAGAATGAGGGAGAAGGGATTGCAGCATGACCATTCCCCTTGAGGTGCCGTCTCACTTTCTCTCTCTCACTCTGTCCCTTTCTGGCCAGTGCACATGCCCTCTAGGATAAATAAAAGGATAAATAAAAAATGTTCCACTTGTATCTATTATCCTGCACTTGGTTTATCTGGCCTAAAGATGTTTAAAGTTGTTCTTTCTTTCAGGAGGAGTGACAGAGAGAAAGAGTCAGACAGCACTGTTAGCAGAGTTTCATGCTGCAATCTTCCAACCTTCCCAGCCAGCCAGGATCATGGGCACATCTGTCCAGTGTGTACTACTCAACCAGAGAACGAAACTCTCGTCCGTCTGTATGGATCTGGCTTCCCTTGAGTAGCATGCTACTGCTGTACCACCAAGATGGCCCTAGCCTTGGAGATATTTTTGAGAAATACAACAGAAACTACAAATCAACATTTGTGGAATTCCAGCCATAGCCTGCTGAAGGAACTCAACCATGTATAATTTTACCATAAAATATATCCATCAAATTTGAAGTTAATATAGTATATTCCATTTAATGAAAATGTATAATTAAGCTTTTAGTACATTTTATAAATTATATAACTGATAGAATAATATTAAATTAAAAATTAAATTGATCATAAAATTATATTAGGATGATAGGCTTAAGAGAAAAGGTCATGTAAGCAATACAAAAAATAAATCCTTTTTATAAACCAAAGAAATTTGTTCTCATCCAAAAAGTAAAAGAAAAAATCATGTATATAGAAATGAAAATCTTTTCTTAGTACACCAGTCTTTTCACTAATATGAAAATAAAACCCCACTTATTGGAAATCTTAAACTCAAGACTGAAAATGCCATCTCTATAAAATATGTTAATATACAATATGGGAGGGGCCAGTAGGTGGAATGGTGGGTAAGGTGCTGGACTCTCACATAGCCAACTGCACTTCAAGTCTGGACTTGGCATCTTGCTTTCTCAGTTTTCCTCCCTCCTTCTTTCCTTTTCCCTCTCTCCCTCTTTCTTTCTCTTTGGTGAGCACATGTACCCTATAGCAAATTTTAAAATAATAATAATAAATAAAATTCAATAATTATTTCAAAATATATATAAAATGTGGAAATAAGTAAATAACTATAAACCATCAATTACCCAAATCCTCTATTTCTTGAATCCAAACTTTGTCATATAAGCTAGTTCTTCTTACAATTCAAATTTTGCCCTTAGAAAAGCTAAAAAGTTTTCTAAACTACTTTTCTTATAAATTTCTGAACTATGCTGGCTTTATTATAACCGTGGGTTTTTTTTTTTTTTTGAGAGTTTTTGCTATAGGGCACGTGTGCTCGCCAGACAGACAGAGAGAGACAGAGAGACAGAAAGCGAGAAATCACCCCCCAGAAGGGATGGTCACGCCGCAATTCTTTCTCCTCCATTCTCCTCTTGGGATCTTCGGCACACACGCACATGCGCCCGGCGTGAGTTTTAAGCCACCGGGTCTGGGACACGAACCGCGGTCGACTACGTGGGAGTCCAGCGACATAGCTATTACGCTAACTGCTGGTTCCCATAACTGTGGTTTTTCTAACAAGAATTTAAATTAAAACAAAGTTTTTGAGCCAGCAGATAGCATGGTGGTTAAGTGGTTTGAGTCTCACATGGCCGATGGTGGTTTGAGTCTCAGACCTGGCAACTTGAAAATCATGCTGGGTGAGTGTACGTATGTGCCCAAAATCCAAGGAAAAAATGGAGGGAAAGGGAGTGCGGCATGGCCACACACTCCCTACCAAGGGTGATTTTTCATTTTCCCTTCCTCTGTCACTGTCTCTGTCTGTCTAGTTGGCACATGGGCCCTATGGCAAAAACCTAAAATAAATAAACAAATATATATTTATATATATATGTTTTCTACAGATCATATGTTCAAAAGCACTAGATTTTTTTTTAAAGAACATTAACAGCAAAACAATATCTAATTAAAATACCTCTGTGTCACTCTATAGTCTGATTTCCTAATACAATCTAAACTGATTATAACAGAAAATTATGGGGACCAGCAGTAGTGTAATGGTTATGTCGCTGGACTCCCACGTAGTCGACCACAGTTCATGTCCCAGACCCAGTGGCTTAAACTCACGCCAGGCACGTGTGCATGCATGCCCAAGATCCCAAGAGGAGAATGGAGGAGAATGGATTGAGGCGTGGTCATCCCCCCTGGGGGTTGATTTCTCGCTTTCTGTCTCTGTCTCTGTCTGGTGAGTGCACGTGCCCTATAGCAAAAAAAACAAAAAACAATTATGTAAAAGCATTAAATTTAATATTTTGACAATAATTTTTTACTATATCTACTAAATTTTACTAATGAATACATAAATGAAAATGATTGATAACGCACAAGTTTCAGACCTACTCCTCCACGTAAAATTGGGATTTGATATAAGATATCATCAACAGAAAATACTGACTTTCACCTGTATATTTTGCATTACCAGGATCATAAGTAGGGACATTTTTAAGAATAGTTTAATTTTAAAAGAGAACAAAAGATGGCTTAGTAAAATCAAAATTATCTAAACTAAAATCTCTGCTATTCATTTTCCTTTAATAATCATGGGACAGCACGAAAAAAAAATAGAGATAGTAGCTACTATGAGGCTGATGTTTTCTGTTTTGTTTTTTTTGGGGGGTGGGGGTGGGGGCAGTTTTTTATATAGGGCACACGCGCTCACCAGAAAGACAGAAACAGAGAGAGAGGTAGCAAGAAGTCACCCCCCGGGGGGATGGCCACGCCACAATCCCTTCTCCTCCATCCTCCTCTCAGGATCTTGGGCATGCATGTACATACACCGGTGTGAGTTTAAGCTAACAGGTCCGGGACTCGAGCCATGATCAAATACATGGGAGTCCAGAGACATAGCCATTGTGCCAACTGCTGGTCCCAATGTTTTCATATTTATATTAATTATTTCACACTTGGCAGGTGGTAGGAACTAATGTACTAGTCTAGCACACAGCATCAAGCCTAGTTGGTTAAGCCTGTAGATTTTTAGACCATAACTGTTTAAGCCCTCCACCTGAACCCTGACTGGAAAGTTGATGTCACAGGTAAGTAAACACTTCACTTTAACGACCTGAAAAACATCACTATCTTCCTCTGCCAACCTCCCTTGTAGAAATAACCTTGTCTCTAAAAAGCATCCAGCCTGTGTCGAAGTCTTCCACACAAACCTGCAGTGCTCAGGAAAAGTTCGGAATTGCTGAAATCACCAGTTTTGGTTTCAGTTCTAATTAGCTAGCCATTTGTTTCCTTGGCTGGTATTTTTTTTTTTATTAGAAAAAAATAAAAGGGCCTCAAATATTAATATCTAGAATCAAGTTAACAGCAGATGTTTAACATAAACTAGTTATTTCCCCTTTCCTTCTCAACTCTGATCCCATGTTAGAATGGGACATAACTAGGGGGCCGGCAGATGGCGTGGTGATTAAGGGCGCTGGACTCCCACATGACTGACCATAGTTCAAGTCCCGAATCTGGCAGCTTGCTTTCTCACTTTCTCTCTCTCTCTCTCTCTTTCTGTCCCTCCGGTCAAATTAAAGTTAAATAAAATAATTCTAAAAAAAAAAAAAAAAGAACAGGACGTGACTAGAATATAAACAGGCAGAGAGAGGTTAGAGGAGAAATGACTTAAATATGGCAAATCTAGGCCACCTCTGAACAATCTCCAAGACTCCTCTCATACCTCTAGTTACAAAGCTCAGAACTAGAGACTATATTCTGAGACAGATTTCCAAAAGCAGAAATAAGAGCAGCATTATCATAGAATTTCTATATAAAATAAGCTTAATTTCTAGAATCCTGAATTACTGGATCATTGGAAAAGTCACGGTGCATTTTTGTATAAAGGGACATAGAAAAATATATCATGACTTTTCCGATGGCCCAATAGTTTGCTTCTAAAAACTTCTTTTCATATTGTTACCTGAGTCCCATGGAGGTATGGTCTACTAGTATTGCTAAGCAGAACTACTCATATAAATAACCCGCTCTTAAAAAATGAAAACAAACGATAAAATTTAAAATCCATCTCACATAGAACACTGGGAAAATGACAAGCATACACTTAGTTTTTCCAAACCCAAATTATCCTAGTTGCACCCCCAATGCACCCCTGTGAGTGCACGTCTCAACATGACCCTCCACGCTCCCCCACAGCCTCTGTGACTCAGCAGACCACGTCTCCCATTAGCATTCAATACACATATTCACCAGCAATTGTTACATACAATTTATCTGCCCAGGACACTTTTGAAAAGTGGGATATATACAATTCAGGCCATATGCCATACAGATAACAATGATGAGGCAAATTAATCAAGAAATATAAAAAGATTCATTTACTAAATGAATCTTATCTGGGAAACTGCCTACAGCAATTATAACACAGAATGTTTTGCCAAAATTTGTACTGGAATCCATGTGAGCAGCTTCAAATTTTGTGTGATGCTAAGAGAAAGCTCAACGTTCATTTAATCATTTGTAAGAAGGCTAAAAAGGCATTTTTCCCATAAAGTCAATTCAACAAAACTGTGTTCCATGCTTACTTCACACAAAGTGCTCTGTACTAGTAATGCAGACATAAATTACACACATCCCAACCATGACTTCAAGGTCAATGAATTCGAGGCTCTTTTTCAAGACATTAACAATATAGCATTCTTTCCACTCCCTATCAGTGATTTTTTTTTTAATTTGGTACTAATATACCAATATGTTAGAATACTGATATTTTAAAAGAGAAACTAAAAACTGTTATCAGATTGAGATTACGTAACAACCCTTTAGGGTGTATGATTTGATTTAATCATCTGTTTTAGTTTGGATTACATAAATGTCGTTTCCTACTCATATATAACACTACATGAATATGCTTTTATTAGCCAATTTCAGAGTATTGAGAGCAGCTCTGGTTTAACCCACAGTTTTTAAATGTTTTAAAGCAGCAGAGACAGACCTTACCATTTTCATATAGAACATTAAATAGAATTCTGTCATATCAAAAAGATCAAAAACTTGAGCTCTGCCTCCTCTTATAGAGGTGAAGAGCCTGAAGTGACCTCTTGGTGGCCTCTTTAGAATTCTCAGACTCTGAAAAACAGAGCTTGAAACCCCCAATGCTAGATTCAGTTTAAAATTCAGATTTTAATATCCTCCCTGTGAGTTCTCAGGGTTTCAGAAATTGGTGGGGCTATGCCTGCAGGTGTCAGTAATCATTAAGGACAGCTGCAGGAGGCAGAAAAAAAAAAAAGTCTCTCTTCCAAACAGACCAGAACTAAAAAAAGAAAAAAATTAACTGTTTTCCAAGCCAAGCTCATCACATATTTAATTGCCAGGAACTCCAAGAGATTGAGAACATGAGCATACATTTTGTACATGCATGGGTGCATTTGCAATCTCCACAAGCAACACCATTAAGTCACATTAGAATTGTAAATGTCCATGCATTAAATTAAAAAATCTTGATGTCTTACATTTACCAAGACTTAAAAGATATTTTACACTATATTTTGAATCAAACACTTTTTTTTCTCAAATGCACATAACAGTCATATTACTTATGAAAAAATGTACCTCACCTTCCATCTAGGCTTACAGTCTTTAGGCCTCCAGTGACCTCCTGGCTCAATATCTAAATCCTTGGAGAAGAGCTGATGAATTTCATCAAAACTAACTTCGCTTACATTGACATTGAGGAATCCCCCTATAAGCCAAAAACATGAAGAATTGTTTTAATATTTGTTGCCTCAAAGATGCAAGCAGTCAGTCAGTAAGGTAATGGCACAATTTCGTTGCCAAGACAGTATGATTTATTCCTTTTATCACCACATAATTATTATTATTATTTTTTAGAGAAATTTTTGCTATAGGGCATGTGTGCTTGCCCACGAGACAGAGAGAGACAGAAAGAGACAGAGACAGAAAGTGAAAAATCATCCCCCAGGGGGATGGCTACACCGCCATCCCTTCTCCTTCATTCTCCTCTTGGGACTTTGGGCACACACGCACACCCTCCCAGGCATAAGTTTTAAGCCTCCAGGTCCAGGAGGAGGCTACATGAGTCCAGTGACGTCACCACTACACTATCTACTGGTCCCATCACCACACATTTATTAATACCCTCTCTCACTTGATAATAATGCTATGTTGGGTAAATCAGCCAAAGAAAATAATCAAATTCTTTATCTAAACTTTCTGCCTTTCTTTATTAAGAGAGATTTTTGCTATAGGGTATCCGCCAGGTGGGGATGGTCATGCCGCAATCTCTTCTCCTCCTTTCTCCTCTTAGGATTTTGGGAACACATGCACATGCACCCGGCATGAATTTCAAGTCTCTAGGTTCGGGACTTGAACCACTGTCTACTATGTGGGAGTCCAGCAATATAACCATTAGGTTATCTGCTGGTCCCTAAACGTTCTGCTTTTGAGCAATGTATTTTAATTCTTTGGAAAATGTTTGCATAACATTGTGACTTAGCATATCAATGCAATTTAACAACTATTTGGGAATTTACAAACTATGTTTAATGTCAACATTTTCAACAGGAAACACAATAGCACCATACTTAATGAGTTATATAAGCAGTGAGATCAATCAGGAGCTGAATCTTAGCTTCTGTCTACTGGGGAGATTTCTTCTTTTTAACATGTGTGTGCTCACCAGAGAGACAGACAGAGGAAAAGCGAGAAATCTCTTAGGGCCTCAGCTTCCTCCTCTATTAAACTGGATAGTAATGCCTGCCTTAAGAAAGTTGCAGCCATCAGACGAAACAGTCTGTATGAAGGATCAAATACAAGGCCCAAGTGATGCAGGCAGGACTCCATCTTGGAGGAGCGCCTCCATCTTGGAGGAGTGCCTCCATTATAAACTGTTAAATTCCTGTGACTAATAACTCAGGGCTGATCGCTGTCTAAATTACTGCCCCTCCCTGGAGCTACAGGGTAACCGGAGTTGGGTGGATTAGTACCTTAAATACATTAGTACTTTGAATAGATTGGTAACTTGAATAGATTAGACTTCTGCTTCTCTGACTTCTCCCTTTGAAGCTATGTAGGGTGGGATCTGAGCCCAATCCCCACCCCAAGACCTCCCGTTCCCCAATTCCCCCATAAAAGATGGTGTCCAACCCCCAGTCGGCTGGAGATTTTGAGTGTTAACTCCTCCACGCCCGCTGGCATAATAAACTGTTTTCCTAATCTCTCTGAGTGCTGCTTTCCACTCCTCGGCACCTGGTTTTCTGCAACACAAGCACTAGGTACACTGAATAAACGTTAGCTACTATGGTATCCTACTGACATTTCTTTTAAAATTTTGCAAATACAATTCAACAAATTTACTTTGAGTATTTATCATGCATTAGGGCCCTTGGTATGCAAAACTGAACATTTCAAACACAGACTTCTATATCCCGGGTCTAATAGGCACTCACTCTCCAAATTAATAAATGTATAATATTACTGGAAATGTTTTTACTAATGGTTTTTCTAATGCCCACCAATGAAATAGGAATGAATATTGGATGGAAAACTAGTTCCATTAACCCAATCAAAAACAGAACTAAGAACAAGAAAGCCTATGTATCTTTATAGAGAATCAAAATAGCTGCATGATCACAGAGCAAAGCTACCCTCAATGTTTTCAATGCCACTGAGATCAGTATGTAAAAGGCTTGTAGAATGAACGGGATCTTTCATCTTTTAGCAGTTTAAATTCACCCATTAACTTCCAAATAGGTACAAATTGCTCTGGAATGCCCTCCAGCCAAATTCTCTTAAACCTTCTCATCTCATAAAATACAAACCAACAAATGCTCAGGTTCCCCACTTTAAAATCCTCTGTGGCCACAATTTCACACAGGAAACACTCAGTTCCTCTCTGGAGAGCCCTTCCCCTCCACACTATTCTAGACCTTGTAAGGTTTTCACTATGGCCTCTGCCCTCCCCACTTCAGACTAGCAGCCTCTGCTCAGCCCTGAGGCTTGCTAGAGAAGGAAATGCAAATATCTATGTTCCCCCAGAGTAAACCAGGAAAAAAAAATCTGCCATCTTCTAATTTCTGCCTGTTCTTTATAACCAAACATCCACTCTTTAGTGATATGCAAACTAGTTCATCTTAGAAGGGTCAGATTTACCCAAAAGAAAGAGACACCTATGAACTTGCAAAGAAAGGGTAAATCAAATGTAAGACTATTCAGCCACTGTAAGTACAGACTATCATGACTGAGCTGACAAAAACAGAATCTAATGCTGTAATCAAATAGGATTCACACAAATAAATCTGATGCATTTAATAGTACGCATGATTGCTAAAATGATAGTAATTAGGCTAAATAATAAGCAGTTCATATAAGTAACTGAAGTTGTTATTCTTCCTGCACTGTTAGGCCAAATTTTTTGTCTTTTTTCCAGCGTTATTGCTTCAACAGCTGTAATCATCATTGTCAGCAGTTTCTTCAGCACCCTTTGCAGTTTAATTTCTATTTCCAATGCACATGTGCTGGCAAATGAAGAGACAGGCCTTATACCTCCCTCTTCAATGGAAGGCTTCCTATGTCCATCGCTATCCCTGAGGCACCCTAGGTTCATCCTGATTGCTCCCAGATACACACCCCTGAGAGTCTGTTAGCAGCTATTCCATGTGCTTCTCCCACTCTGCTCTGAGATCCTAGTATCTTGCTGGCTACTGGGCAAAGGTGGCCCAGTGACAGGAGGTTGTCCTGCCAAAGGCAATAGCAACATCATTATGCTGAGAGGGAAAAGGGGAAGAAAACAGGCCCCAGGCTGGACATTACCACCTTGCAAACAGTGAAAATGTGATGAAAGAGAGGAGAATAAACAGTATTGGGGGCTGGGATGTTGGTGCTAGGGAGATCTTGTACATGTGAAAGAGATTATTCCAGAAAGACTGGCCAGGAGGAAGCACTCAGAAGACGGTGTCGCAGTTTTCAAACCACACTCAGTGGAAGGGCTTGTCAGGAGCCTCCACAATGGCCACTTCCATCTCTTAATGCACTGGGTATCCCCTTCGAGTCTAACTCAAGAAAGTGTTCGATTTAAAAATCACCTGCTATTGGTCTAGCAGGTGACATGATGGTTAGGACGCTGAACTCCCACATGGTCAATCAGGGTTTGAGTCCCAGACCTGGCAGCTTGAAATTCACACCAGGCACATGTGCATGCCCAAAATGTCAAAAGGAGAATGGAGGAGAAGGGATTATGTCATTACCATTTCCCCTGGGGAGCAAATTCTCACTTTCTCTCTCTCTCTATGTCTCTGGTAAGTACATGCACCCTATAGCAAAAATCACTCTTAAAAAAAAAAAAAGAAAACCTGCTATGAAAAAAAGTCAGAAAATAATTCACTCTTTACTTGTGAAGAGGTAAGCAATTAGCCAGGCCAGCCCCATTTATTTCAGTTACTGAGATTTCAAAAGCAAATGAAGAGAAATGATCCAGAGAATGCCAAATCTTCACTTTCCACCTCCGCTAAATCTGAAGTGTTCAACTAGGAATATATGTTTCTTTCCC